GGGGGGCGTGGGGTGGGGTGGAGAGAGGGTTGTAACCAAGTATATCGTCCTCCTGTCACGTATCTCGATCTCTGGTGAATCCGTAGACGATATTTGCTCTCGTTCCCGTAGATAACACGTAAGTGGACGATCTACGATTTCTCAGCAAACAGAAAACTAGAAACCCACTTCTCGTTCACCCTTGGAAAAGCAACACACGATTTGTTTAAACACGAACATACTCGCGCACATCTTATATTAAAGGATGTTGTTATGCATATTTGTACTTCTTAATGAGATTAAATATTCTTGCTCGAGTTATTAAAATTTTGTTAAGGGTAATAATTATGTGTATGTATAATATAATATTATATAATTATTAATAGGGGGTAATAATGATTAATTGGAAACAAAAATAGGAATGATGAAAGATCGATTTCAAATTGTTGAGAAAATAAAAGAAAAGGAAAAGGCTTGAGACAATAACGAATTAAGAAAATAATCGAGAGTAATAATCGAGATAACTTGCTGAACGATCCGAGACTGTAGGATTATCTACGATACACCAAAATACTAATCCATTTGTTATACGTATACTATAGAGACTATACGTAAGTATACTGAGGGTTCTCAGGTCGATGTTATTTTAGGTGATATCTGAAGTAGCTAGAGAGAATCGTGTCTGTGTTCTATGTCTATGACTATGTCTATGTCGTAGTTTAGCAGGCAAGTTGGCCCTGCTTGGTAGCAAAAGGGACGTGGAGGACCCTCGAAGGTAATCTTGGCTCGTTCGCGGAGGGCTGCATTTTGATCCTCGAGGCTTCTGCCATGGCACGCTCGCTCCGTTCCTACGTATTCACTATAATTAGAATTCCCTAATTAACGTGACCCAACATCCCCTTCCCCTCCCTACCCCTCTCTTTCACACACACACACACACACACACTTTCGCAGGGCTGTAACCATAATCTTCCGGCTTGACCTTAGCTTCCCAACATTTTTTTTTGCCACCTCTTCTTCAACTAATTCTTCCTTTTCTTTCGTATTTTCTGCTTGACAGTTTGAAAAAGAAAAAAAAAAAATAAAAAGGAGGAAAGAAAAATCTCTGTCGTCGAAAAGGTCGATCGAAAAATAATCTCGGCACGCTCGCAAAGAAAATACTTCGTTCGTTCGTTCGTTCGTTTTTTCGTTCTTTGTTTCCCATGAGACACCACAGACGACTGGTCCGAGTTGTCACCCTCTTCGCGAGACGAGTTGTTTTGAAATAACTTTAAAATATCGAACAAACACTCTAACGGTTACATCGAGTAAAGAGAAAGAAAAGGAGAAAGAGAGAGAGAGAGAGAGAGAGAGAGGGAAAAACCTATTGAAGAAGAAATGAAAAAATAAGCTTTCGTTAACCATCCCGCACCCTGATAGATCCGTTATATTATTGAAGGGTAGGTAGTGGTAGTTCCAGGATCTTTCTCGGCACGATCCTTTCGCTATTTTATTAAGCACGTACAACGTTTAACTCATTCTCATTCTACGATGTTTCTCTTCAAAGAATGACTCTACATTCTATAATAATAATAATAATAATACCATACTCGTTACGATTTATCACAATTAAAACGTTGCCCACACCTTCTGTCAGTTTGTTATTTATTTTCCTTATTTAGAAACCGAATAACTCGATGGGAAACTTCTTACCTTTGAAATGAAAAAATAAATAAAAAAAAATATAAAAGAAATGCATTACCACGCGGACTGCCTGAAGATAATTTGAAATTATTTCGAATTCGTGAAGCGTACTTCGAAATATCTGTTCTAAAAACACTATTTCAAATCGTCAGCATGAAAGAGATGGCCCACCCCCTATCAGGAGGAGAGGTTTGGCTCGATGTCACCAACGCCAGTGTGTGTCCTTTACTGATAAATACAACGTAACAAGTTAAGTGGAATAACGAGTTCATCCCGGGTGGATCAGAGTCACGACTAGTGTGCGAGAGATCCAACTCACGTAGAAACACATTTTCAACGGACTTGTCCTGATTCTACCAAAGATTTCCAACAAATTATAACAAATATATATATATATATATATATTGCATATTGCATAGAAAATATTACCCCTATTAAAATTTAGAAAGAAAATAAAAGTAAAGTAAAAAAAGAGAGAGAGAAAATCAATAACTAGGAAAAACTAAATCACGCGTTGATATTATGTCTCATGTGTGTTAATAAGAAACTATAAAAAACAAATATTTTTAATTAAATTCAAAGTGTTACTTTTTTTAATCGAACAAACGATTACACGTAATTATCTCGTATATCATATAAAAAATATATATAATATCCCATATCATATTATACAAATATTTTAGAAAGAAAATATAAAGTGAATAAAAAAAAAAAAGAGAAAAAGAAAAAAAGGAATCAAGTTCGAAGAAGCTAATAATGTGTTGATGTCTGTTAATAAATAAAATAGAAAAATAAAATTAAAAAAAAAAAAACAAGAAAATTGTAATTAAACTCGAGGCTCTTTTCCCTTTTTTTTTTTTGTTTTTTTTTCTTTTTTCTTTAACGAAAGAATCGATCGTTCTCGTTGAAGGGACGAAAGAGAGAGAGAGAGAGAGAGAGAGAGAGAAAATAAAAAAAAAAAGAAAAAAAGGTAAACGAAAAGAAACGATAGTAGAAATCTTCTATTTCGTTAACCGTGTGGTAAAAAGGAAAGGAGAAAGAGAGAGAGATAGAGATAGAGAGAGGAAGAAGGGAGTAACACCGTAAAAAGTAAATTAAATAAGAATTAAATAGAAATAAAACCGCTCAGCCAAGTAATTGCTTGGCCCGTCGGGTTCGTCCCACACAATCGTTGGAGATCCTTCGTTGTTCTAGTCCCACAAAGAGAAAGAGAAACAAAAAGAGAGAAAGAGAGAGTTCTACTCAAGAGTAGAAAGAAGGGAAAGGGAAAGGGAAAGGTGGGTGGTTTGTGGGATTCTCGTCGATGGACACACGACGTCGAGTAATCCAACAAAGAATTACTCTCTACCTTTAACGTACGTGAAGAACTTTATTTATCGTAGTAATTAGTACCGATGAACGGTCAATTTTTAAATAAGAAAATACAATTCCTTTTTAGTCTCATCTCCCCCACCCCTCTCTCTCTCTCTCTCTCTCATAAATAAATAAATCAAATGTAAAAGACTTAAATAAAACCAATGAAATAAAATGCGATCAAATTCGGATACGCACACTTGTCGAATAAGTTAGAAATTTGGAAAAAAGAAGAAGAAAAAAAAAAAGAGAGAAAAAAATGGATTGAGCAAGAAAGAGAGATCTTGAAAAATTGAAGGAAAAATTGGAGAACGGGTAAGGAGGAGATAAAAGGCCCGGCAAGAGAGAGAGAGAGAAAAGAAAAAAAGAAGAAGGGCGGGTGAGCTTGTGGTGAGAAGGATGCTTTCGAGTCAAGGCGAATTTCGAGGCGGTCCGCGCGATGGCAATCATGGAAGGATTAGGTGCACGTATAAGGATCGGACGCCTACTGTAAGCGAGGGAGAAATGATAGAGAGAAAGAAAGAGAGAGAAAAAAAGAAAAAAGAGATAGATAAAGAGAGAGAGAGAGAGAGAGAGAGAGTTTGTTGAAGGGAAAGAGGTCAAACGGGGGCAAGATAGACGTCTGAGCGCGGGGCTTGAAACGTAAATGATATTCCATGAGGAGCATATGCGTGCCGAGATGGTTCCTCCACCTCCTCCTCCTCCTCCACCACCTTCGTGCCTTTGCTTGCTAGATCGCACAAGGGTAGGTAGCCCTTCTCTCACGCAGGGTGGCAGGCATAGCACTCCCTGCCTGGCAGTGGGGCGCTGCTTTATTACAAACAAGGATTACCCGCGTAATGGGACATTCTGTCCCTTCGCTTGCTTCCAACCAGAGGAGCAGTGAGAACGTCCTTTGCACTGACTCACGTATCCTCTCTTTATGTATCTACACACACACACAGGCAGGAACATTTATATGTATGATAGTTGTTTACCCGCAAGCTTGTCTCTTTAAAAACTACGATCTTCGGTCAACCCACTTTCGAATTAACCTACGAAATGAACCCCCATCATCTCTCTTCGATCGATTAATTTCGAATTATCTTCGTTTGTGTATGTATGTGTGCATTATTAATCAATTTAATAATATTAAACATTATCTATCTATCTATCTATCTATCTATCTATCTATCTATCTATTGATAGCATGTTGCTATCAAACTGAGGGATAATATTGCCAAGAAGCGAGAAGAATTTCCTTTTATCATATAAATGATGATTATATTTATTTTACATCGTACGTTTGGTTAATTCCGACAATGCAAAGACACCTAGATAATCTAGATTATCGATCTCGTTTTAAGAGCATCGATTTGTGGACCATCAAACATTTCATTCGGTGTACTCTGTTCAGTGGAAAGAAGCAAATCCGAGTGGCTATTCTTGAAAATACGGGGTGGTCAGATGGCTTAACACGATTTGTCGATATATATATATAAAAGCTCAAATATCTCTTTCTCTCTCTCTTTCTCTCTTTGTAATTCTCGAAAATCCATCTTTAAATATTGTAAAAAGTTCCGTCAATTTTACGACTGTAACCGGGATTCGATTGATCCGTGTGAGGACCCTCGATAGCTAATTTCACGCTGCTAGGATGAATCCTATTCTCGTTGACCGGACCACGATAACATTTCAATGGTTCACCCAAAGTCCGTTCCTTCGTCGAAGATTCAAATATATTACCGGTTACGATAACTTTTCGTTTTTGTTCGACAGGTAATATTGATTTCTTAGGTATGATCTACAATCAAAATTCTTGTCCAATTAAATTGTTCATAAGATGATCAGTTTTAATCATCTAATTACCAACCTTAATTTCATTTTTGAGAACTCGCCAAGTCTCTTGTCCAAGAGTTTCAGGTTGCATGATGGTATACATTTTGGGAACTAAAGTATCCTTGCTGTGAACGTAAACGCTGTTCAATGCCAAGTCCAAAGAATCGCTTGGTACCTAAAAATCAATCACGAGTGTGTTAATCCTATTAAATCAAACAATATTAATCGATACTTTCTCTGATTGTAACAAGATTGAAAAGTTTGTATTACCTGCGGTCTGATTAATCGACAATCCTTCCTTATGCTATTCAAAGTATGATGAGCAAAGAGACGTTCGTAAGGAGTTAACTTGAGATCCCAGTCTCTGTAGTTAGGTAAAACTTTATTACCAAGTACAGGTCCACGAGATGTCCAAAAACCCTCTCGAGAGACATCCGGTACCGGATAAGGATTCCGTATGTAATACGCTTGGGCTACCATATTTGCCAACTACGATCGATAAATCCTTGATTACGACGACTGACTGACCCCCATAACCCCAAAAAACGATAAGATCATTATCGCTTCAAACATACCCTGCTCTCTATCGTGAATGTAGCGATATCGAAAACACTATTGGCACAAGATTACGATCTATTTACGTTTCCCGATCCTGTTTTGTTGCAAGAATTTAATCGACGATTTGTGATCGTTTTAACGGGGTGCCGATTTAAATTACCTAATGTTTAGTTTAATTTGGATACACATTTTTGATAGACGAATTTAGGATATTAAACAACTATCGGATACAAATTTCAAATAATTTATCGAGATTTATATAGAAATCTATAATCTGTATCGATTAATTTAGAATTATATCAAATATTATTACACGTTTGTGTTAACGCGATATTCATTGAATTGTACGTAGCAGCAATTTTAAACTTTTAATAATAATTGTTCACAATAATGTTAATATAATAAAGATTTTTGTTCTTATCCAAAATTTTTTAATATTATTACTAAGTTTACTTCTTAGGGAAGTTTTTTTTGGACAGGTTTAATTTAGATGAACAATACATTTATCCGTTGAACGTTTCGTTTCTATTTGAGACTTCCTCAGCAACTTGATAGTTATGTTCATAAGTTAATATAACATCATTTTTATTACAGTCATAAGTTTTCACTATCTTATATATAGAGTCAATTTTTAAAAACGTTATCCTACCATAACTTTTCGAACACTCACAATAATATGTCTCACATATATTGACAAATTAAATAAGAAATAAATAAATTCGAATATTTTTCAATGTAGAAGAAATATTTCAGTATCCTGATGAAATCGGGGCAGGGGGGAAGAAATGTTCGAGGATGGAAACTATCGAAAAGTTTCGTGTGAATGGTATCATTCGTGGTAAATCTTGAATTTCACAATAAGCTCATTCAACGGAATCCTAAAAGACGAGAGAGTTGGTTGTAAGTGACTTTATGTGGTCTTAGGAGCCCTACATAAGTGCTTCGCGCTTCTCAAACCAACAAGAGGAACAGAAGAAAAAGGAGGAAGAAGAGGAAGAAGAAGAAGAAAGAACAAACGGTCTCGATAAGTGGACACCCTATAGAGAATGATAGGACACAGACCTTCTACATGAATTAACTTGGTTCCCTCATGAATGAATTAGGATCGGAATTGGGGTGAAATTTCTTTTGATCTTTGGCTTTTCACCGGAAGTCTCTTCTTAACTCGATCGGTTTTTAAACCTTTAAAGTATCTGTAATACTCATAGAAAGATAATGATTGCTCTGTTACAGAATTTTCGTGTTTTTCTTTTGTTTTTTCTAAAGATAATCCAACTTCACTATCGAATAATGCGAACAGTAACTGTAAATTATTTTAACGCGTTAATTCGATTAATCATTAACTATATTGTGAAATTCTAATATACTTTTTTACATTGCTATTATAATCTCTATATATATATATTTTACCTCATTTAAAAATAAATGAAAAATAATAAATGATTTGAATAAGTGCATTTATCGAAACGATTTGTAATTACTCCGCAAACACTTCCTGGATTATTGAATCGTTTTAATCGTAAACAGGGGCTGTTTAAATATACACGTATGATAAAATACAAAAAAATGAACAAATTATATACATCAAATTTATGATAAGAAAATAATTATTTTTAGACGAAATACAAAAAATTTCGAAAAGTGACTAACTAGAAAAGAAAAATATAATCGACGAAAAAGGTAGATTATTTCACCTGTTTTCTCAAAGTATAGAAATTTCGTGTATCAAAAGTAACGAAGGAAGTAAGGAAGGAATGAATGAATGAATGAAGGGCACATTACACACACGGTTAGTTGGTTCCCCGCATTTAACGTATTTTGCTCTCTCAGGAGGTGGTCGGCCATGGGCAACGCTGACGTCCAATATTAAACCCGCAGTAATTTATGTTAGCACAAGCGTGCATAATGCTGTTTGTATAAAGCGAGACGATGGCACGTGTCGGCTCGTGCGGTAACATGCATCAATCCCCCGTTCAGCACCCTGGGTAATTCTTGCCACGCTGCAACTACTTTGGTGACCTCGCGATGCGACACGTCAAATCCCGCCTAGATCTCTAATATATTCCTATCTAACTAGTCTCTACCTATATAATACCTACGAGTCACATACGTTTAAATGAAATTTTCACTGGTCCCTTTTATCAAATCTTTTTATTGGATTATCGATGCACACACAATCCATTATTTGAATCATATCCTATTTTTAACGAAACTCGTACAATTGTTTTGTTTCAAGAGAATATTCGCAATTTATCGATTCGTCATTATCCTATACATTATAATACTTTTCTCGATTCATTCTAGGTTAATTCCGATTTGATTTATTTCTGGTTTTATTATCCCGAACATGTACAGAGTGTAACCAGAATAACGTGGAGATCTATTTCGGGAGATACTTTTACATTTAAAATTCATGAAAATAATTCATATATTATATAAACGAATACTTTACATGTCCTAATATATCCCGAAATTAATTATCGATCCAAATTGTTAACTACACAATGAAATGTCAGATGACAACTTAAAAATTCTCAATAAGAAAAAATTACAGTAGTCAATATTACCCCTTTATCATTAATCCCATAACATAAAAGATAATAATTAATTATTGTAAGGGAGTACAAACAAACAAAACAATGTGTACAAATATATTTCGATATCAAATAATATCCCGACGAATAATATAATATAAATCCAAAAATAAGGGAAAAATTCGATGTTACTTCGGAAAGAAAATCCGACAGATGCGTTTATTGGGATGAGTAGGTAAAGACCAATAAAAAAAAAACCGTAGAATAAGGGGTAGGGAGAGGAGGGGGTATTGCGAGAAAATGAGGGAACGGTGACTCTCCTCGATCGGAGAAATTTTCCACGTCATTGCCCATATAAAAGAGATCAGCCGTGAAGGAACCTCTTCTTCTTTTACCTTCATCGCCCTTAACATCTCTCGCGAAAGGGCCAACGATAGCTAGCTCGTCGACACGCGTAATCGCGTAATCGCGTAATCGCGGCGCGTGCTGAAGTTCGGGTTGCGGGAGCTTTGCGTACGCCTACAACGAGCTAACGGCCACGTGCGTGGTTCGTGTACACCCTGAATCAACAAAACGATCGTGTATTGCTAGATACACCAGAATAGGATTCAACCAAGATTCCAATTCGAAAATATAATACATTTTTACATACATTTTTTTTTTAATATTTTTATTTATTTACTTATTTATTTCAATAATAATAATAGCGATCGTTATCGTCAATATACAACGAACGATGATTTAAACAAAAAAAAAAAAGTAATCTATTGTCGAATTCGAATCAGAAAAATTAAGCACGGAATTTGAATAGTTTCATCATTGCTTAAATTCTAACACGTTCTTCCCTATAAAAATACAATTTAAAATCTACGAATTATACGAGACGCGTGTGATAGATGATCGATTTTTATTTTCATTTAGAAAATATTAACTTTGCGTGAACATATGATGATGAAATTAGATTTAAAGAAAACTTTAAATTGTATTCAACGTAGAGAATAATATATTTTCAGTAATAAAAAAAAGTATAAAATTTGTTTAGTATATTTGAAAAAAAAAAAATAATTCTTTATCACCGTATAAGAAAACATAGAAAATTCAACGTGTCTCGTATAATATATTCCCAAGAATCTCGTTTATCGTGATCTTCTTATTCCAAATTTCGAAAATAATGTCCAAAATATGAGTTGAAGTTGTAACCTCGTAGGTAGTAGGAGGATATCGCTAGAATTCTCCGTTTAAACGGTAATCCTCTAATATCTTCGAGCCGATATTCCGTTTCGGGGCAATGGAATCGTGCATTCAAATGTACATCGTTTCCCAGCATGCTCTTGGAGGAGCCAGCTAGCCGAGGACAATACCGAAGGGATGATATTGCCAATATTTGGTTTGATTCTGGTGCGAATGTGCGGGGTGTAGACACTAACCTAGAGGGTGCCAGAACAGAAAGGAGAGAGAGAGAGAGAGGGAGAGATATAGAAGATCCCTTCGAAAAGGGAAGAGGAAGGGTCCAGTGTACGTATGTACGTTAGACGCGAGCCCGATTACCATTTGAATGTCCCTGCCTTTGGTCAGCCTTTGTCGAAACACCTCTCTCTGTCTTTCTCCTACACACACATGTACAGATACTCATACATATACACACATTCATATACACTGACCGCATGTATATATATATATAAAGGACACTCCCTCCTACCCATTGTCTACCAGCCCGTATGTTCGATTCTTCAGCTCGAGAAATAAGGAACGAGCTTTGACAGTTCTCTACACGCCTACCTTTTACTAGCTATCATTCGTTTTCTCTATCTCTACTCGACTTTGTTTCTTTTTTTTCGGTTCCTATCTCGAAGGGTGCAAGTTGGCCGACCTAGGGCAAGATCGATGAGTCTTTGATGTTCCACCTATCACTACTAGTATCACTTTTTTTTCTTGTTCGTAATATTTAAGATCTTTCTCTTGTTTTTTGTTATGTTTTTTTTTTCTAAATGATTCATTATTTATCTATAGGATTAATGTGATATCGTATTTATAATTTATGCAATTATTAAATGTGTCTATAATTATGAAAGTGGTATAAGTGATATATATCTTGTTTCGAGATATTTAAAAAGTATTACTTTTCAATAATAATTGTAAATGGAATTCTATATAATATATATTTGAAATAACAAACACTATCTAATTATTTATTTATGACAGTATATTGGGAAAAATTATATTGAATTAATTTAATTTAGAAGTAATGTGTCGTGTGTGAAATAATGAATAAATTCATAATTTCTTTTTTTTTTTAAATTTTCACTTATCGTGAAAGACCACTTTCATAATTAATGGCCCACAAATATTTTAATTGGTTAATTTAAGAATGAAAGATGATGATGAAAA